TGTGACAACATGGATGGACCTAGAGGGTATTATGCTAAATGAAATAAATCCGACAGAGAAAGAGAAATACCATATAATTTCTTTTATATGTGGAATCTAAAAAAAGAAAATGAATGAACAAACAAAAAAACAGACACAAACTCGTAAATTCAGAGAACAAACTGGTGGTTCCCAGAGTGGAGAGGAGTGGTGGCAAAATAGAAAAGGGCAAAATAGAAAATGGGCAATAGAAATGGGCAAAATAGAGAAAGGGAATTAAGAGGTACAAACTTCCATTTATAAAATAAATAAGTCATGGAGATGGAAGGTATAGCATAGAGAATAAAGTCAATAATATTATAATAGTGTGGTATGGTGCCAGATGGTAGATACACTTATCATGGTGAGCATTGTGTAATGTGTAGAATTGTCAAACCACTATGTTGTACTCCTGAAGCTAATATAACACTATATGTCAACTATGCATCAATAAAAAACATTTTAAAAATAAATGATAAAAAATTTTTAAAAATGAATTGACTGTGAGGGTATATTTCTGGATTCTCAATTCTATTCTATTGATCTATATATCTATGGTTATATTATTACTCTGCTGTCTTTAGCTTTGTAGTAAGTTCTGAAATTGGGAAGCATGAATCCTTCACCTTATTCTTCTTTTTCAAGATTGTTTTGGCCATTCTAGGTCCCTTGCATTTCTGTATGAATTTTAGGTTTAGCTTGTCAGTTTCTGCAAAGAAGCCAGCTGAGAGTTTGATAGAAATTGGGTTGAAAGTGTAGAACAATTTGGGAAGGTATTGCCATCTTTTTTTTTTTTTTTAATGTTTATTTATTTTTGAGAGGAGGGGAGGGGAAGAGAGAGGAGGGGACAGGGGATCTGAGGCAGGCCCTGCACTGACAGCAGCCAGCCTCATGCGGAGCTCAAACTAACGAACTGTGAAATTGTGAAATCATGACCTGAGCTGAAGTTGCATGCTCAACTCACTGAGCCACCGAGACGCCCCTGGGGGAGTATTGCCATCTTAAAAATATTAAGTTTTTCAATTCATGAACACTGGAAGTCTTTCCATCTATTCAGGTCTTTCTTGATTTTTTTCAACTGAGTTTTACAGTTTTAGAGGACAGGTTTCATGCTTGTTTTGTTAAATTTATTCTTTAGTGTTTATTTTTGATGCTATTTTAAGTGGAATTTTTCTTAATATCATTTTTTGGTTCATTGCATGTGTATAGAAACACAGTAAATTTTGTATATTGATCTTGTATTCTGCAACATTATTTTTTTATTAGAGAGAGAGACAGCACAAGCAGGGGAGAGGGGCAGAGGGGCAGAGGGAGAGAGAGAATCTTAAGCAGGCTCTATGCTCAGAGCATAGACAGAGTCAGAGCCTGATGCAAGGCTTGATCCCATGATTCTGGGATCATGACCTGAGTTGAAATCAAGAGTCAGACGCTCAATCAACTGAGCCACCCAGGCACCCTTGCAACCTTCTTAAACTCATTTATTTGTTTTAATATTTTTTTAGTGGATTTCTTACAGGATTTTCTATATACAAGATCATGCCATCTGTGAATATTGTTTTATTTCTTCTTTTCCAATTTGCATGTCTTCCATTTTCATGTTCTATTTCATTTTCATTTTCTATTTCACTTTCTTGCCTACTTGCCCTACCTAGCCTCCCTAATCTTATCTTCCTTATTTGGTATAGTTAGTCATTCCTTACTTTTTGTAGCCCTCTCTTCGCTTGTCTTCTCAGACACCATATGTTTTGGGTTTTCCTCCTATTTCACTAGTTACTTTATTGTTTCTTTAGCTGGCTCTTTCTCTTTCCTCCAACCTCTTAACCATCTCCCACCTTTGAAATTAAGACTTATGAATCCATTTGCCTATTTGATAAACCCCACGTAGATGTCTGATATGCAGCTCAAATTTAGCCTTAGGAAGGTTAACTTAACTGCTAATCCTAAATGAAATGTTTTATGGGAAAAAAAGAGAAAGAAATATTAATGTTCACGGAATGTTTACTATTAGCACTATTCTTTATCTTGTTCACAACATATCTGAATTCTGATACTCAGGGGACATGAACCCTGGTCAGTTTGATTCCAGAGCCTGAGCTCCTTCCGAATAGCTATCACAAAGTGGATAGCCCTGTTTTTCTCTTGTTGAGATTGTTTTTTGGAGTAGTGTGTGACAGCTCAGGAATAAAGAATCCTATAGGATTTCTAGTAAATGGAATTAGAAATGCTTGTCAGCCATGCAGTGCTTTAGAGCTGCTGCTTCTCTCTTCTATATAGAGTGGATACAAAGAGATGTCTCATTGTGCAGACAGGCTTTACCATTCCCAGGGAAAGCCTACATTGAGTTTTGGGTGAGTTTCTGGGTCACTTTCCTAGATTTCTCTAGCCTTGAGATACACTTCTCATCAGAACTATTCTCCTGTATTTGCTTAACTGGATTCTCCACCTTTAAACCTCATTCCCTCTTGTCTCTTTTCCTTTGTTCATGAACTATCAGCTCCTCTGGGTTTGTGCAAGATACCCCATTCTGACATTTGCCTTTTCAGCACCTGGCTCAGCATTTGCTCAGCATTTCTGACTCATCTGTTTTGCTTTCCTTGTTAAAATACTGGTTACAACAACAACAACAAAATTACACTTTTTTGGTCAGTTCTTTTTAATTGAAGTATAGTTGACAAATGACTTGTACTTTTAAAGAGTAGTGATAACTCCATTTTCTCTTTAAAATAGTTAATGAAAGTGAAATGAAAATGTCCAAGATAAGTCTGTTCATGTTGTGACTACATTTTTACAATCCATTTTGTCCAGATTAAAAACTAGCCTGTTCTCAGGTGGCATCTGCAATCTCATTTGGTCCCCACGATGGATGTCCCGAGGCAGCTAAAAAAGATGAGAAAACTAGTGAGATCCTTTGTCCATGTTCTCATAGCCAGTTAGGGGAAGAGCCAGTTCTCTTCCCAGCTGAGCTGGTTTGTTCTGATAAAATTTGTCTTTAGAGTCTGCTGTCCACTGTAGTGTGAGGTCCCATTCCCAGGTTTTGCCTCTTAGCACTCAGAGGTGTCACCCTTCCCTGATGCCCCCTCACAGGGACTTTATTCCATAGGCTGAAACTTTCCTGATCACCTTTCAGTATTGGGGCTAACTTATCTTCTGATTTTTTGTTCCTAAGTATGAGCCAATCATGGGGCATTATGGCACCAATCCAGAATGAGAACTAGATTCAAGACTCTGCATTCTGTGGCACCTCTCTGAGCTTCATAGACCAGATGAACTCTAAGGGCATTTACAGCTCCAGTCTTGTCATGCTTTATGATTCTATTTTCTCTGATAAGCAATCCTGCACTAACTTCTGAATAGTTGGCAAAGGTTTAATATGTCACTCCAGGGATGGCAAATAGGTAGCTTATCTCCTATCGATCAATCATGGAAGACTCATTAAAAAAAATTTTTTTTAAATCTTTATTTATTTTAGAGGGGGGGGGGCAGAGTGTGAGCAGGGGAGGAACAGAGATAGAGGGAGACCCAGAATCTGAAGCAGGCTCCAGGCTCTGAGCTGTCGGCGCAGAGCCCAACGGGGGGCTCGAACCCATGAGCCGTGAGATCATGACCTGAGCCGCTCAAGTGACTGAGCCACTGGGTGCCCCAATGGCAGACTCATTCTCTTCATCTCATCCCTCTTAAATGGATCCCATCATGATTCAAACTTCTCAAACCAGTATTGTGTGCTAAGTAGCCACTGCCAGTGGATCACAGTTGACATGAGTTTGTCCTGACTTCCCTCCGCATCTAGTGCTTCACTCTGAAGGAGGGATTAGTGGTGACCAGGATACCACAGACTTTAGGAAGATGGGTTCTGCGGTTCGGCTGCCTGCATTCACATCCTTTTTCCACTGCTCCCTTTTTGTGTGACTTTGAGAAAGTTACTTAACTTCTCTGGACCTCACTTTCCTTTTTTGTAATATGCAACATAACAACCATACCTCATGGGGTTTTAGACAGGATTAAATGCAATAATATGTATAAAAGAGTGCTTAGAACAGTGCCTAGCATATGTAACTCAATAAATGCTTACTATTGGAAGGCTGGTGGAGGAAAAATCCTTAGACTGACACTTTGTGGTGCCCTTTCTATCCTTCAAAGTGGTCTGATGTTCATTCTGTCTATGAGTGTGGATTGATCCCATTTCAAAGTGTATTTAGTCAGTAAAAATTTAGGGCTTTCTTTAGGCTAGGCTTGCAGCCAGGTGTTTAAGATATAATAAACAAGTTCCTTTCAGAGCTTGCAGTGTAGTGGGGATGACAAATAGTTTGTTTTGAAGCTAGTTACAGTATCCTTAATAATTGCAGTGATTGGAGCTTGCACAGGGTCTTTAGGGAGCAGCCTTCTTGGTGATAATGTTAAATCTGGGTGGGAAGATTAATACTTGAGTTGTCCCGATCTGGCTGGCCTCTTGCCAGTGTTTCATAGGTATTAGGTCCTTTGGGGAATTGTTAATGCTTGTTTTCGTGGGCAGCACATCTCAGTGGCATGCTCATGCTCCTTGGCATTCACTCAGTCCCTCGACTGACTGCCCCAGGATTTTCCCATTGCTCTCTGTGCTGCTGTCCCTCTGTCTCAGTCAGAGCTGAAGGAGCTGAGGAGCAGAGATGTGAAGACAAATGAAAGAACCCTGAATTTGCAGCGCCAGAGTAGCTAGGTCTCTCTGTGCGCCTTAGGAAAGCATGAATAGCCCAGCTTATCGAGTCGATGAGTTCATCCCCCTGCCTAACTCAGGATAGGGTAAATGTCTGCGACAGTCTTGTATGGTGGTGGTGTGGAATCTGGGTGGGAGAAAAAATATCCTTGTGTGGCTGGGGGTGGGCATTGGTGCTGTGACCCATGCTGTCCCCTCACTGGTGTTTTACAGTAAACAGCTGTTGTGTGACGTGATGATTGTGGCAGAAGATGTCGAGATAGAAGCCCACCGTGTGGTCCTGGCAGCCTGCAGCCCCTACTTCTGTGCAATGTTCACAGGTATGGCGAGGGGCTAATGATAACCCACAATTATGGGGCTGCAGCCCCAGTGAGAGAATATTTTGGGTGGTGGCCTGAGGGGAGGCAGGAGACAGAATGCTATGACACTCACTGTAAGGAGCTTCTGTGTATCAGATGCTATGTTTTGCACTATGGGGGACTTGGTGGAACCAGCCAGGCATGCAGCCCCTTGTCTACTATGAGGAAAAAAGAGGTAGAACCATAGAGTTGATTAGTTCTCACACTTCAGCATGCATCATAATCATGTAGGGGAGCTTTTAGAAGTGTAGGCTCTTGGGCTTATCCCCACACCTCTGTTCTTTCATTTTGCAGATGAGAAACACTGAGGCTGACAAAAAGGGAGGGACTTGCCCAAGATCACATAGGAAATGAGTGGAGCTTGGCTTCTTGATGCCTGGCCCATTGCTGGACCAGCTTGTCCTTCCCTGGCCATTCCTACCAGGCAAGGTCTGCAAACCCTCTTGAGTCTTTACAGGAGTGTGGAAGAGATTTGGGAGAAGTGATGGCAGGGCTTGGAGGGGAGAGGAGAGTAAGATAGGAATTTTCACCATCTGGCACCTTTGCAAACTTTCTAGAGGGTCCCTGTTTCCTGTATATGCCAAATAGTCCAGTCCAGCTATTTCACATGTGAGACTGAATGCCTTGAAACCCATGGAGCTTCCTGTCTGTAGTGCCTCACAGCACCTCCCCTGCTCACTGAAGACCAGTTGTGCCTGCTGAGACCCTCAGGCTGCGTCAGGTGTCCCTTCCCCACGTTCCCCAAGTACCCATTGCTGTTTGTGAGTGTGGTCACTATCACTCTTGTGTTGCTGTCTGTTTTCTGGCATCCTCAGTGCCTGTGCTGTGACGTTTTGTGTATCGGCGGCTTCTCATCCTGCAGATTACAGGCCATGTGTCTCCCCAGAGGGCCTCCTCTGACCACCTTTGCCATGGTTCCTCACTAAGTTCCCTTCTGTCTCATAACTTGAATACATAGTTTTTCCTAACGTTTGTCCCTACCTGAAAATCCTGTTGTTGGTTGTTGATTTTTTTTTTTTTAATCTGTCTCTCCTCACTAGACTGTAAGCTCCTTAAGGACAGGAGTCTTGTTGGACCTGTTTGCTACCATATCCTAAGCATGTGGTACACGACCAGAGTCAAATGTATTTTAAATGAATGAATGAAATGTTTCCATAGTTGATTATGAGCTTTGGGCACTCGAGGGCCATGTCTTGTCACTGCTGCATCCTCAGAGCCAACCACAGGGCATGGTATTTAGTAGGAGACAGTAAATAAATGAAGCTTAAAAAGAATGAAGGTGGGCTTGCTAAGAATGGGTGAGTGCAGGCACCCTGTTTTTGCTGAGTAGGCTCTTTCCCTTCTCCTAATATAGTATGTGGCCTCTCATGGGCAAGAGTGGTTCTAGTTGGGGGTGACTTAGTGATTGTGTTTTGAGAGTTCCTCACAATGTGGACCCCCCCTTGGCTCATTGTGTGAAGGAGCTGTAACTCAGGTAAGTGGATCAAGCCACTCTTCCATCACCCTGAACCTTGGGTCAGGAATTAGCAGCCTGGAAAATGTAGTTGTGAAAACCAGTGAATTTCACTACCTGGAAATTTTGAGCTGCATGCTCTTTGAAGTAGTTTCAAACTCTAGTAGCAAGGTTTTTATGTCTTTATTTACCTCTCTCGTTCATCTGTCTATTTAAAAAAAATAATTCATTTTGTTTGCAATAGTTATTTGGTTGCAACTTCACTAAGTAGCTCTGCCATTCATTGTTTTCTTGTGTATGTGGTTTGGAAAGTCCAGTATTGAGAGAGGAAATCTGTTTGGAATTGCGATGAATTGTAGTGTTGCCTCCACTTGTTGCTAATGAACTTGCCTCTGGAGTAGTGCAAGGGCCCAAGCAAGAACAAGATGATTTTAGAAACATAAAGAATCTGAATGCTTCTGGAGCAGATGTTGGATTCTAGTCGTTAAAGGGAGGAAAAAATCAAGAAGAAACAGTCTAATATGATGCCCAGCTCAAGTCATCTGTTGAATCTGGTTACTGTCCATCCTTTCATCCTTCCAGCCAGCCAGCCAGCCAGCCAGCCAGCCATATCTGTCTGTCTTTCTACTCACCCATGTACCTCTTCAAACACTACTCACATATGTTGATTGCAGAAAAGAAATTAGAGAATGTGGACAAGCAGAAAAAAAAAATATATGTAATACATCATCTAGATAAGATTATAGTTCATATCCTTTCAGATTTTATATTTATAAATATATACATATACGCCATAAAATTTTAATATAGGGGCACCTGGGTGGCTCAGTCAGTTGAGCATCTGACTCTTGATTTTTGGCTCAGGTCATGATCCCGGGGTTGTGGGATCGAGCCCCATATCTGGCTCTGTGCTGAACATGGTAGCTTGGTAGCTTGAGATTCTCTCTCTCTCCCTCTGCCCCTCTCCCTTGTTTGTGCTCGCTCGCTCTCTCTCAAAAAATAAAAAAATAAAAAATACCTAAAAAAATAAAAAATTAAAAAACCCACCAAAATAAAATTTTAATATAAATGAGCCATTTTGTATATACATAGTTGATGTAATGTGTATACTTAAAAAAAATTACTGTTCATCTTCCTGGGATGTTCTTCCCCCTGCCTCTTTGCCTGTCTAACTCCTATTCATCTCTCATTACTGCTTAAGCAACACTTCCTCAGGTAGATTTTCCCATGATCCCCTTGGATTAGGTTAAATTCTTTTGTTATTTACTCTTGTGATACCATACGTTATGCTTGTCTTTAGTATCACTGCTTATTTCATTACTTCCTCAATATCTGATTGCTCTGGTCAGTCAGTTAAGAACTCTACCTTAATTCACTGCTATCTCCCCACTGCCTACCTGGATCTTCCATGTAGTAGGTGCTCAGTGAAAATTTGCTTAATCAAACCATTGGTCTATGGTCAGTATATTTTCACATCAGTGAAATCACATCTACGTCATAATTTCAATGGCTTCGTAAGATTCCATCATATATGTCCAAGTCAAAAATTGATTTCCATTTTGGTTAGAAATTCTAATTCTTTCTAATATTTTGCTATTATAAGTAATACTGTCATGGGTATCTTTGCTTCTTAATATTTATTTATGTTATAATTATTTCCTTAGAATAGACCCCTAGAATAGGGGTGTGCACATGTTGAAGATTTGAGACACATGCCACAAATTCACATTTCCTAGAACAGTTGGACCAGCTTTTGCTTCCATCGGCATTTTGTGAGATTTGTGTATTTTTTGAGATCCCTTGATTTGGCTTAAATCTTGGTAAGCAGGTTTAAAGAGTAACATTGTAAAATTTTGTTCTAATTATCAGATTCAGCTTCAGAATTCATAAACTTAATCATGAAAAGGCCCAGCTGACTGTTTTTTCTTTCAAAAATTTAGATAATTTATTTTATTTTGTTTTTAATTTTAAATCCAAGTTAGTTAATGCATAGTGTAATAATGATTTCAGAAATAGAATTTAGTGATTCATCACTTACATATATCACCCAGTGCTCATCCCGACTGGTGTCCTCCTTAATACTCATCACCCCTTTAGCCCTTCTCCCCACCCTCCCCCTCCATCAACTCTGTTTGTTCTCTGTGTTTAAGAGTCTCTTATGGTTTGCCTCCCTGTTATCTTATTTTGCCTTCCTTTCCCATATGTTCATCTGTTTTGTTTCTTAAATTCTGCATATGAGTGAAATCATATGATATTTGTCTTTCTCTGACTTATTTTGCTTAGCATAATACATTCTAGTTCCATCCATGTTATTGTAAATGGCAAGCTTTCATTCTTTCTTATTACCAGTAATATTCCATCATATATATATGCCACATCTTCTTTATCCATTCATCAATCGATGAACATTTGGGCTCTTCCCATACTTTGGTTATTGTCGATAATGCTGCTATAAACATTGGGGCGCATGTGCCCCTATGAATCAGCAGACTATGTGTGCATGTGCCCCTATGTATCCTTTGAATAAATACCTAGTAGTGCAATTGCTGGGTCATAAGGTAGTTCTATGTTTAATTTTTTGAGGGACCTCCATACTGCTTTCCAGAGTGGCTGCACCAGTTTGCATTCCTACCAGCAGTGCAAAAGTGTTCCCCTTTCTCCACATCCTCACCAACATCTTTTGTTGTCTGAGTTGTTCATTTTATCAGCTGACTCTTGTTAAGTCCATTTCTATCAGCATGTTTAAGGCCAAAATGAAAAAGAAATACTCGTGACGTTCTTCTGACTTGAGTGGTGTGATTACGATCTTTTTATTCGGGCTTAAAGTGTTTTTACTTTTTTGTCCTCTGAGTTCATATTGCCCAAATGTCCCAGATATCAACCCTGCTCCTTGAGCATGTTCTGCACAGAATAACTTGGGATAAATGTGACAGTGAGGTCTGAGTGCCCAGAGGAGAGTGTTGAGAGGCAGCCAGCTTGCAAGAAGATCCAGGATGGGCTGTCACTCAAACTGCTCAGCACTCCTTTAGCACAGGGATTAGAGAGGCCAGCAGTGCTATGTTCTGCCCATCTTCGTCCTGTGAATAGGGAATACTTTAGATTGCCCTGCTTCCTCCCCGTCTAGCTCCTCCATCCCTAGGGAAGCACATTTTACCAAAATAGCCTAGTCAGTTTTTTTCTCTCTTTTTTTTTTGTCCTTTACTATGGGTTCTGTGTACTAGAGTATTTCCACTCCATATGGGTCCCTACGTGTCATCTGAGTACATTAAAAACAGCCCCATCTTATGGTGTTAAAGGAACTGGGTTTTAAAGAATATGTGGGCTCAGGGTATTAATGCCCCATCATCACTTGATAGAGGTGTGGGGTTGCTTGCTTTCCTGGGTTCTCTGTGGTTCTTGGGGATGTCTAGGTACAAGGTCTTAAGGTATGGCCTGAGGATTTAAAGAAATTTAAGATCTACTCTTTTAGTCCAGGTCACTCTCATCTTTCACCTAATTTCCTGCAGCA